TCCAAACTGTGGCCTGTGGGCCAGATGTGGCCCTTTGCTTGCCTCTATCCAGCCCTTGAAGCATTATTCGATTCCACTGATACAAGGAACTATTCCTTCCACTGACACCAAAGGTGAAGCACTATTCTTCCCACTGACACCAACAATGGGGTACTATTCCTCCCTCTGGAACCCAAGATAGGGAACTAATTCTCCCACTGAAACCAGTGATGGGACACTATTCCTCCCACTGACACCAGTGATGTAATTTGTTTACTCCTAGTGACCACCAAGCCTATGGTACTGTTTACTCCCACCAGTGCCAGGGCACTTTGTACTCCCACTGACCACAGTTTGAAGGGCAGTAAACTGGCACTTTGTTTCAAAAGTTTAGAGACCCCTGGTGCTTTTGCAAAGCATTTGAACAACTTTCCAAACAGCTGCCTTGAAGTCTTCAGTTCTGATATGAGGATGTTAAACATTAAATAAGCTTTTAGAAAGCTTCATTTGGCTTTTTTGGGTTCTTTTACAATGCAGTGGCAGCAGCTGGGGGGCACACGCTGCGGCCGCGATACTTCGTGGCCACAGCAAGAATTATATCCCTTGTCGCTTTCAGTGGGCGTAGCACCCGCAGAGCATGACCCATTCAAGTGAGGGGTTAGCGGAGATGGTGAGAAGGCGATACATTGCCTACTCACCACATGTCAAATGCTCTCTGAAGAGCGAACCGAACCACATGGATTGTTCTATAGAGACAAATGCAAGTGTGAACAGACCTTTACCAAGTTTCACTTGGTGCTGATACATGCTAGCAGCTTGTTTAAAGTGACATTGGGCTAGAGCTTAATGATGATTTAAAGGCTTCAACAAAGCATTATTCAAGTGCAGAGCTCAACACTTCTTGTGAAATCACTGTAAGAAATGGCTGCTGAAATTCTGCTTCCTGAAGCAGGCCATACATGGATCGAAATTCGGCTGGTTCAGCAGGGACCAGACAAATTTCAATCCATGTGCTGGCTAGTTGGTTGTACACAAGTCAACATATCGATCAACTTGTGTACAATCAGCCTGTCGGTTTTTTCAGTGCCGCCATCTATAGCCGGCAAAACTGATCATTGTATTCTGTGGGCAGGGAAGGCTTAGAAAGAGAAGATTTTATTGTTTATGGTTAACTCTAAATTGATTACCTGTAAAGGCTTTAAACAGTTGCTTATGGACAATTGGGGGTATTTTAGTTTCATGTGTCACAGGCAAACGTAATTTTGAGTCCTGAAATATTTGGTATCTATTTTGTCAACTCTAATCTGTACAATTTTCTAAAAATTTGAAAATTTTATTTTATTTATTTGCATTAAATTCATTTGAAAGTATTTTGACTGAAAATGTAGGTTTGATAAATGGATGCACAAATATCATACAATTTAAAAAATCGCAACTACCATCGCTTTAATCTACATGGTCTCTGTTTTTAAAAATATCTCCTGTATGTGAGATGAAAGGGTTAAAGGGTTTGTATTTTGTTTAGTGTTTCCATTCTTTGATGTGGTCCTGGGAAGTCCCTTACTACATCCTCTCACCTCTGCACTTTTACAGAAATGAATTTCCACTTTAAGCAAATTGGAGTTTCTTTGCTTGTGTTTTGACACTGAAAATGCAACAGAAACAAGCTTTGTAGGGACTTTTCTAAAAATGGAAAAGGTTAATAAAAAGATGTAAATTCCCCATTTGATAACAGATCTGAATGCAACAGTATTGTATGGGCCCATGCACCCTCGTCTGTATTGATCCTCAGTGTAAAGCTGCATAAACCAAAATGGAAAGATCTGCATTTGAGGACACACATATGGAGCGTATTTTATGCTGTACGCATGTAAACATTTGTGGTAGCCTTTCCGTTCATACGGTGCAAAAACTGCTCAGGGCCAACAAATAAACATCAACAACATAATTAGACACTATTGATGTGTACATGTCAGCCCACAAGAAGTCCTTCATGTGCTGATAGTAGCTCATGTGCAGAATGACCTAGGCAGTCATTTATTAATCTTTGGTGACTGAAGGCCAGTTATTGTGTGCATGCTCCTCCACCACAAGAATACCTTAAAGGATAAGTTCACCTTTGGGAACATGTTTCATTTTCTACCTATATTTAAAGTGGAACATGTTCCCACTCCTGCAGCCGGTGCCTGCTCCACTGCCTCCAGTGACAGCAAGCAGGAGGTGTTCTCCCTCCACTGGCTGTCACTATTTTAGAAAAAAACCTGGCCATGCAGGGCTCTGCCCACCTGGCTGCCTCACTCATTCACAGAGTTCTGTGAATGGACAACAGCAAGTACCGGCATCCTTTACGGCTATCGGCTTTTAGTTCTAACATGGCGCTGGTGAGCACTCTGGTAGTTCATTGTCTCTTCCTGTCAGTGTGTATCTGCCTGCCTGTATGAGGTACGAGCAGACAGGTACACTGACAAGTCTGCAGGAGACCTGCATGGCACCTGCGATCTCCTGAGCTCCAAGTAAAAAATACTAATAAATGCACATTTGTTTTTACCTACAATGACGTGCATTTATTATTTTTTTTAAAAGGTGAACTTATCCTTGAATCAGGGCCAAGATGTAAACATCAATAGCATGCAATCAGCAATGCAAGTGGCACTGATTACTTATTGGTGATTTTTAGGTGACACTCCTGAGTTGCAGCAGTGGCCAATAGAATGTATTTGCACTGTATGTGGTACAAATGTAAACGTTACAGCAAACATTGCATGCTTACAGTGTATGAACAAGGTTTTATGCAGGATCAGACTACCAGCAAGAACATATGTAAAATCATCTGTCCCGTGTGCATGAGGCCTTAGGCTGCTACAGCTGTTTATGACTGTCATCTGTTCTGTGTTTTCATCTCAGCAGTTCAAAACCTGGTTTGGGTATAAGTATATAAATCCAATCACTAAAATCTCATACAAGCTTTAAAATCATAATGTAATTTCAATATTTTCAGTATCTGCAGCTTTCATTAAAATAATGCTTTTGATCCTGTCATGAAGACCCTGTGCAAGCATTTCCTGTGCTGCCACCTTGTCAGCCTTTCACAGGCTCTCTCCCAGCAGAGACTAAGAACAGCTGTGCTGACATACAGTTGCAAGAAAAAGTATGTGAACCCCTTGGGATTCCGTGGAGTTTTGCATGAATTGGGCATAAAATGTGCTCTGAACGTCATCTAAGTCACAACAATAGAAGAACACAGTCTGCTGAACATAATACTACACAAACATTAGATGTTGCGATGGTTTAATTGCACATAACATGTAAACATTCACAGTGCAGGGAGGAAAAAGTATGAGGCCCTAGCTTAATGACTTCTCCCAGAGCTAATTGGAGCCAGGAGTGAGCCAACCTTGACTCCAATCAGTGTGATGATATTGGATGTGTTGCTGACAGCTGTCCTGCCCTTAAAAAACACATACCTGTTTTGGGTTTACTGGTTTCAAGAAGCACTGTCTGATGTGAACCATGCCTCGCAGAAAAGAGCTCTCAGAAGACCTACGATCAAGAATTGTTGACTTGCATGAAGCTGGAAAGGGTTACAAAAGTATCTCCAAAAGCCTTGATGTTCATGTGTCCATGGTAAGACAGACTGTCTATGGAGAAAGTTTAGCACTGTTGCTACTCTCCCTAGGCGTGATCATCCTGTAAAAATGACTGCAAGAGCACAGCGCAGAATGCTGCATGAGGTAAAAGAAGAATCCCAGTGTCAGCTAAAGACCTACAGAAATCTCTGGCACATGCTAACATTTTTGTTGACACATCTACAATAAGGAAAACATTAAACAAGAATGGAGTACATGGGAGGACACCACGGAGGAAGCCATTGCTGTCCAAAAAGAATATTGCAGCACGTTTGAAGTTTGCAAAAGAGCATCTGGATGTTCCACAGCACTACTGGCAAAATATACTGTGGACAGATGAAACCAAGATTGAGTTGTTTGGGAAGAACACACAACACTATGTGTGGAGAAAAAAAGGCACAGCACACCAACATCAAAACCTCATCCCCACTGTAAAACATGGCGGAGGGAGCATCATGGTTTGGGGCTGCTTTGCTGCCTCAGGGCCTGGACGGATTGTTGTGATTGATGGGAAAATGAATTCCAGAGTTTATCAAGACATTTTGCAGGAAAACGTACGACCATCTGTCCGCCAACTGAAGCTCCGCAGAGGATGGGTGATGCAACAGGACAATGACCCAAAGCATACAAGTAATTCAACAAAACAATGGCTGCAACAGCACAGAATACGCCTTCTGGAGTGGCCCAGTCAGAGTCCAGACCTCAACCCGATTGAAATGCTGTGTCATGACCTTAAGACAGCGATTCACACCAGACATCCCAAGAATATTGCTACACTGAAACAGTTTTGTGAAGAGGAGTGGTCCAAAATTACTCCAGATCGTTGTGCAGATTTGATCTGCAACTACAGGAAACGTTTGGTTGAGGTTATTGCTGCCAAAGGAGGGTCAACCAGTTATTAAGTCCAAAGGTTCACATACTTTTTCCTCCCTGCACTGTGAATGTTTACATGTTATGTGCAATTAAGCCATGGCAACATCTAATGTTTGTGTAGTATTATGTTCAGCAGACTGTGTTCTTCTATTGTTGTGACTTAGATGACGTTCAGAGCACATTTTATGCTCAATTCACGCAAAACTCCACGTAATCCCAAGGGGTTCACATACTTTTTCTTTCTTGCAACTGTACATTGCACAGCCGTGTTCCAGTGTTTTTTCACCATTAGGAAACCCACGCTGAAAAATAGTTGCTGGGGTACATGTATGTAGACAGGAAAAGGCTGCAGGCTCACTGTAGGAGATTAGCAGACATAGTACATAACACACAGGTGCATCAATTGAGAGCTACTGTATGTATTGAGGCGCAGTAGGACTAAAAAAAAAAAACCTGTATTTTTTGTAGGTGTATCATTACATGTGACTATATAGTGTCTAACCTTTCTGTTATCTTGTGTAGATGAGGAAACCCCGGCCGCAGAAAGAACGCATCCAGTGGGATATCGGTATCGCCCATGCTGAGAAAGCCCTGCGGATGACACGGGAGGAGAGAATAGAGCAGTACACTTTCATCTACATAGATCCAGAAAGCTCTCCTGAACCCAAAAAGCCAGCACCTAGTAAAAAGTGTCGGAGGTCCACATCAAGTAGTGAGGCAGAATCTGCCCGTTCATCAGACGTTACCAAATCTCCTCCAGCACCTCAATCTACTTCTTCGTTAAGAGACTCTAGAGACTCTGTACCTGAAACCCGTAGGCAGAGCCAGAGAAAACAGGCACCGACACAGCCACCGCCAGAAGAAGAGGCACCGCCACCTCAGCCACCTCCCCCCTCCAAAAATCCCCTGGAAGACAGCAGCTGCTCGCAAATCCCTTCCCCCTTCAGTTCTTTTGCACAAGGGCACTATTGACCTTCAGAAGTGCAATATGTCACCTGTGGTGAAAATTGAGAATGTTTTAGCCCTCAAGAATGCCTCTTCTGAAGGTATTGACCAATTCATATTCACAACTAAGGTAAGGAGAAATCAGAAACCACTAATACTTGTAGTGTATTACAATGAGAAAATTCCACGCTGCATTTATATGGGTTTATATGCATTTATGGGTTTAAAATCTCATATACTACAATTCATTGAAACTGGATAAAGGGATTGTAAGAGAGTTGAGTACTGTGCCTAATACTTTGTTTTCAGTAACACCAGTTCATTTGAATGAATTTATATAGCCACACCATAACAAGATAATTACTGAACACCTGCTGGACATCACTTATCACAATTTGATCCTTTTTTGGAGGACATATTTGTCTTAGTTCCTAAAGCATCCACATTGTGGCATTGCTTACTCACTAGCAAACTAAACCTTCCTATCCTTTACAGCATTGGTCTCCAAACTGTGGTCCAAGGTCCAGATGCAGCCCTTTGCTAGCCTTTTTCTGACCCTTGGGGTACTATTCCTTCCAGTGATATGACACCAACAGTGGGGCATAATTCCTACTACTGACACCATTGCTGGAGCACTATTCCTCCGACTAGTATCAATAATGGGGCACTATTCCTTCCACTGACACCAACGATGGGGCACTATTCCTTCCACTGACACCAACAATGGGGCACTATTTCTTCCATTGACATCAACAATGGGGCACTATTTCTTCCACTTATACCATAGATGGGGCACAAGTCTTTGACCTGCTGACCATCAACCCTGAGGCCCATGTTTATTCTCACTGATACTAGGCCTAGGACATTTTCTACCCCCACTGGCCATAGTTCAGTCCCCCAAAGTCTGAAGGACAATAAACTAGCACATTGAAAAGTTAGGAGATTCCTGCTTTACAGCAAAGGAAGTCTGTTTTTGATCTTCAGTTGCCATGGTGCTGCACATGCAATCAGTTATGACACCAGTTATTTGATGGTTTTACAATTCAGATGAGAGCACAAGCAATTGTGACAGTTATAATGCATGGATTGCCTTAACCTTCCTAGCAGTCTGATTATGTCAATATTTTTGAATGTCAAAGCAGTACATTGTTTTGCATGGAAATTTGTTGTTTTATATTGTAGGCCTGTAATTCTTAGGAATAACTTACTTAAATCTGGAAAAACAAGAGTCTAGTAGACATCCCGGGGTGTGATAAAGTTTGAAACACGAAATCATAAATTATAATATAATAATATAATTATATAATAAAACATATAATTCAATAATGTAATCAAACCAAAAACACTGAAATTTGTCCAAACAAGGGTGCAATATTACTAGACACTGCATATTGGTTTAGTAAACATCCTGGGTATAAAAAATTTTGAAACATGGGATTGCACAAAGTTCAACGTCACAATCAGGCGCTGCCTGATCCGTACCACAGTCAATAGAGCACCAAGTTCGCACATCACTTAACTCAGTCGCAGAATCGTCGCTATCGGCACTTTCAGTGTCTGATGACGAATTTCCCCACGAATCATTATCACTCAATTCTGCAAGTGATTCTAATTCACTATCGCTGTTTTCTAGTTGGTCTAAAACTGCTTTTGACCTAAAGGGACGCATTTTGGATGCCTTGGACATTCTCAAGTTTCCAGGCAGAAAGAACAGTAAAAGTGCAGGCAGGCCACAGGACAAAGCACTAGGGACAAAATTTAGGTGAAATGGTTTGATACAGTAATGTAATCCTCACAGATTACAATGTATTGTGTGTATGCTTTGTTTTGTTTACTTTTTTGAATCTCCCGCCGGTTCCACCTTGCCTGCGTTGCGGCGCTCGCAGGGAAGGGAACCCGGAAGACAGATGCGGCCAGAGGACATCAGGGGGATCGCAGGGACATGGTAAATTACACTACAGTGTAATCCCGAGTGTGGCTTGGGGTTTTGATACTGAATATTAACCCAGAGCCACACTTGGGATTACCGCCAGGGAGGTTAAAAGTAATTGTTTTGGGAAACAAGTTAAATGGATGAGTTTAGTTTCACCTTAAGCATACTGTTATTCTGAAAATGTTATATAAATGTTGAAGTACTTGTGGGGGCTGTTAATAAACAAAATAATATAATCTTGTGCATTTCTATGGATAACAATTACCCTTCTCCTGAAAATACCTCAATGTAGATGAAAAGTATAACCTAAATTAATTCGTTTTTCCAAAAATAAGAATAAAATAGCCGCTCTTGCACATAACCCCATCTCATATCAGGCATAAGTAATAAACACAGTGACTAGTGCAGCGCTACAATATATAGTGAAATCACAAAATTATATGTAAAATAAGTCCATTCATCTTCATTAGAATGCTTCCATCCTTCTGTAAACACCAAGTGCTCCAAAGCATATAAGTGCAATATTCCATCACCAGATGTCTGCTCACCTCCAGGAGTATGACCTCACGTAGTAGTATATTTGGTCTAACTGCGTTTTTGGTCCTAAGACAGACACTGTAGATCAACTGGATGGATCCCAGCTATGATTCACAACTTGTCCGGTATATAACTCCCACCTTCACATCACCTCATGAACAAAAGCCTCCGCATAAACTTTAAAACATTTTAATATCTCAAAAATAAATGGATTGCGCACTCACATGTAAAGGGTGCCCAATCGCACCAAGTTCAATCAGCCGTGGGGAGTCAACTACGATGGGGCTCATGCAGTGGATAAACCAAAGTTGCAAGTTGTATCAACCAGTGAACACTGCTAGTGCCGATACCATCGCCGGCTCCGTAGAGCATCATGACGTCATTCAAAGCCCCGCCCAAAGTGTTTCATCACTCATCATGTGACTTTCCCAAGGGGAATGTAATGAACTTATTTTACATATAATTTTGTTATTTCACTATGCATTGAAGCGCTGAACTGGTCACTGTGTTTATTACCTGTGGGGGCTGTGATCCTCAAATCAATGCTTGGCAATTAGTGATGGGGTCACATATCTTAGGAGCTCTTTAGCCCCATGGAGACAGCCAGAAGCATCCTTGGGCTGTAGGCAAGGATAAAGGGATAATTGACATCCCTTGACACTCCCTTCTTACCTCTATGTTGGTCCACTCTGCAGCTTCTAGCAGGGGACAGACTTTGCTAGTCAAGCTGTGGCTGCTTTCGAATAAAAAAAATTGAGACTTTGAACTCCTGATGTACTACAAATGTTTTTAGCTGATATAACCTGAAGGTTCAATTGGGCTAGTAGATAAAGTGGCTGTAGTCATTAATTGACTGTCATCTGGACTGGGTTAAATTCCATTTGTGGACACCTGCAGTTATCACTGACTGAGAGATTTTAGGGTGAACCTTTGAAATATTGGCCTATAACTTTAAGCCCTGATTCACATTGCTGTGACTTCAGGTGTGACATGCGATTTACAAACCACACCGGAAATCACATCTATTGTATTTCTATGGCAAAAACTGTAGCTGCTGACTTTTAAAACCAGACACTCACCTGTTCCTCGATCCAGCGGTGTCTTCACCGCAGACGGTTTCACGGGGCAGTCCTCTCTCCCCGGCTCCTGCATCTTCAGTGTGGGCACCTGGCTGTGACAGCTTGTGGCTTCACAGCCGGGTGCCCACTGCACAAGTAGCGCTCCACTCTCTGAATGTCACATGTCCCAGAAGACTATGGAGAGGGAGGGGGGAGGACAACTTCCCCTTCTGATCAGCTAGGGCAGTGGTCGGCAAGCCGCGGCTCGCGAGCCACATGCGGCTCTTTACACTCTTTAATGCGGCTCTTGTGCGCCGGGCGCCCGCTCCCCTCCCTCCTCTCGGGCGGCAGGGACTCTGCAGCGTGATCCAAAAAAAAAACAGCCAGGGCAGCGCGCTCAAATGCAATGATTGGCCAGTCTCGCTGCCACTCACATCCTGATAGCCAGTGATTGGCTGTCAGGATGTGTGTAGGCGGGGCAGCGTGACGAACGTGAGAGGAGCTAGGCTCCTCTCACAGTCCGCCCTGAAGACCGGAACGGCGCGGGAACATGGCGAGAGGAACGCGCGGAGCAAAGGTAAGTGAATTGACACAGGGGGGACTTGACTTACTACTTGCTACTTACTTACTACTACTATATGAGGGATGAATTAATATGGGGGATGAATTACTATAGGGGGGATGAATTACTATGGGGGATGAATTACTATGGGGGATGAATTACTATGGGGGATGAATTACTATAGGGGGGATGAATTACTATGGGGGATGAATTACTATATGGGGGATGAATTACTATAGGGGGGATGAATTACTATGGGGGATGAATTACTATAGGGGGATGAATTACTATGGGGGATGAATTACTATAGGGGGGGATGAATTACTATATGGGGGATGAATTACTATGGGGGATGAATTACTATGGGGGATGAATTATTATATGGGGGATGAATTACTATGGGGGATGAATTACTATGGGGGATGAATTACTATATGGGATGAATTTCTATGGGGGATGAATTACTATGGGGGATGAATTACTATATGGGGGATGAATTACTATATGGGGGATGAATTACTATGGGGGGGATGAATTACTATGGGGGATTAATTACTATATGGGGGATGAATTACTATATGGGGGATGAATTACTATATGGGGGATGAATTACTATATGGGGGATGAATTACTATGGAGGATGAATTACTATATGGGGAATGAATTACTATGGGGGATGAAATTACTATATGGGGGGATGAATTACTATATGGGGGGATGAATTACTATATGGGGGATGAATTACTATATGGGGGATGAGTTACTATGGGGGATGAATTACTATAAAAACTTATTGAAACTAAAAAACAGTGTACCATCCTATGTATTTTCAGTTTTAAAAATGTGGCTCTCAAAATAAATTTCAATCGTGGTTTTGGCGAGATTTGGCTCAGTTGAAAAAAAAAGGTTGCCCACCACTGAGCTAGGAGATGCAGTGGGAGTGGATACCAGTCAAACTCAGGTACTCGCTCCCACCCCCCCTGCTCCCTAAAGGTGCCAGTCCTTAACTGGGAGCGGGGGCTGAGGCCTTAAAATGGAGCTTCCCCTTTTGGGTGGAGTTCTGCTTTAATATGTGCGATTTCAAGTAGCGCAATTTGAAAAATAGTTCCTGAATTACTTTTTCATCACTTAAGTGTGATTTAACTCTCAGAGACTATAAGGGAAATGGCACTGAAATCGCACCTGTGTCAATATCAGCACTACTTTGAAGTCATGCTTTAAATGGAACCAAATCGCACCACTTTGAAATTGCATTTGGTGTGAACCAGGGCTTAGTCCTACTAGATAATCTGCTCCAAGGATGTTTCCATTTAATACAGTAATAGAGATATGAAAAAGAGTAAGGATGTCAACAACCTTCATTATGGATTCATACCTTTTGTTGCTCTGAAGGAAAAGCTGTCTGTTTTGTGTCAATGTGAATGGGAATGATTTTTCATTATAAATCACCTGATGCACTTTTTGAGGTCTAACGAAGAAAATGACAGTGTCTGAATCCCTTTAGATGTGGTTAACCCATTGGGAATTTCCCAACAAAAATTAGACTTATGGGAAAATTAGCAGGAAAAACAATGGGGGGGGGGGGGGGGGGGGGGTGCATTCCATACCCCAACTGTGTACAGAACGCCTCCATGTTTCCTTATTGCACTGAATTTTAGAGAAACTCACACTGCTGCAGATTGAAAAGGAAATTCATTTTTAATAATATTCAATTACAATATGCCTGGTGTAGCATTTATATATGCTGTATTTTTTTTTTTTTTATTTGTTAATTTGTCCCCCATGAAAGCAGAGTTACCCTTTAAGGATCTGTGTTCATGAAGCTTTAGTTAATGATGACATTCAGACTGTCATGATTGACATATTATGAATTGGCCATTGATCATCTTGTGCTCTCCATTTACATATAGATTTCTCAATGCTTCCTAATCAGTGTAGATAGAGGAATCTCCCCTGAAGGCTATGGTTTTCAGACAGCTGCAGCACTCATGGCTGTCTGAATACCCGGACATTATATACGATAGGATACAGTCACTGGCCAACAGTGTTCCACCCAGCTCCTGCGATTTTATTAGCAAAGTTTGCCAAGCCGGGTGGTGCTGACAGAGCTAGAAATGGCTTGAATTTTGACTGACTCAGCAAGAATCAGCTGAAGTTTGGGCTGTGTTTGGCCAGATTTAGATACTGTATCTATAGCTGTACTTAGTTTTGGAGCTTAACATTTTTTTTACTTTAATAATTTTTGGTTTACTGAATCTTAACCTTTTCACAGCTTGTGTGTAATTTCCTTTGTGTTTGTTTTGAAGGGAGATGGAACCAAGCCGGAAATCACAATTAAATTGACGGAAAAGACGCCCACACCCTCCCCCAACTTGAAGGTTGAGAAAACGTCAGCACAACACACACCTGCTCCTGAAACGTCATCGGGGGCCACAGGTAGGCAAACTGCACGTGTCTGCCCCTAACACAACCTTCGTACTGCCAGAGTGAATGGGGGAGGGGGGAAGAGACTCTTGCGCCCAGCGCTGAAATCTATAGACTAAAATAAACGGAGAGAGAGAGGACATGCCCCCACTCAGTATTTTCTCTCTAAACTGCCTTCATATTTTTGTTATATGCTGCTTTTTGTGCAATAAACGATACAAAGATAATGTTTGCATTGTTGAATGGGTTTTCTGTTGTGAACAGTTATTTGGCTCAGAGGAAAGTGCTATATACAGACTTATTCCGTATTAATGTGCAGATAACAAAACTTAAGTTGTTTATATGGCACTCATTTGTTATTTGCACCAGGTATGCATTAAGTCTGCATGTGATATACTGTATATAATATTTATACAGATATATATATATATTTATATTAGTTTGCAGCTAGAACTTAAAGAAGTCTGAAAGGTATTTTGAATATGGTTTGCTTTCTGAATATTTATTTCTGTTTATGGTAATCAACACAAACTCTATTGGGGATAGGGTTAGATATGAGTTCTTAAGCTGTAATTCACTTAGAGAAGATCATGCAAGCTCATGTTTGCATTTATTTGTCTGAGAATAATAGACAGAAGATATCTGTAAATATGATTGATTTGCCTGTAAGCAAATTACCAGTCATAGAACTAGCTGAGAAAGTAACTTTGCTCAATTGCTCCTGGTAAGCAGCTTTTGTTTTACACTAGCTGTTTTTATTGTAGATCATTTGTGTTTCCATAATTTGTTCATGTGGTTCAATCCAAGTGCTAGATTTTATCTAGAGGCTTATTAGGAAACATATTCCCCCCCCCCCCAAAAAAAAAAAAACCAAAAAACAGTACACTGGGACTGTTAAACTGAATCTATCATTTATATTTAGCATATAAAGTACATGAATCAATCAGGCATTACTACTTCATGTCATCATTGCCAAATCACATTATTTTGGCACGTTATTTTACGTTTATTTAAAAAAAAAAATTATCTGTTGTTTGCTATGGATTAAAAAAGCACTGCTGCAGTCTAACTCGTGATTTAAGTCTAGGCAAAGATCATATGGTTCCTGGATAATAGTTACGTTCTAGGTGTTTCAGCTTGTCAGAGACTGCAGAGTTAATTGTGCTCAATCACACAATGTCTGATAGGCTTGCAGCGAGATTAGAGCAAAGCACCATCACTGTGCAGCCTAACTAAACAAGAAGCAAACTTTGGTCAAGTAATAAACTTCCCTGTGTACATATGGGATTAAAACAATACATAGAAACAATATTTTAAGGTCCTTTACACGTGGGCGCATTTGCCTGTACAGCATAAACAAACATGCATATTTTAGTGCCTGGAAGTGCCTGGTGCTCTGTATTATTATTAATATACAGGATTTATATAGCACCAACAGTTTTCTAAGCGCTTTACAATATAACGGGAAACAATACAGCAACAATACAATTCAATACAAAAGGGATAGGAGGGCCCTGCTCCTTGGAGCTTACAATCTAGGAGATCAACCAAAGACATAGATGGGTGAAAATGGCTGTAGTGTAAAGTTGCGCATACGCAAAGACGTAATGTCCTGAATGCAGGCAGCTTGTGTTTGGGATATTACATCTGTGTGCACGTGCTGTTTTATGCAAGTAGCACCGCATAGTTGCATACAGCCACCTTCACCTGTTAAAGTCTATAGGCAGCTGTATGCAGCACCAGGGGCTCTCGGGGCACTAAAATACGTCTGTTTATGCTGTACAGCCGAATGCGCCCATGTGCACGAATCCTAATACATGAATGCACACTTAAAATACTCTAGTTTCTTTCACGTGCTTGCCTATAGAAAATTTAAAAAGGCTATTGTTCCTATTCATTTGATTGTTCAAGCCTTCATATTTGCAGTGTTATGCCCACTCATTTTAGGCGCTGGCTTATCTATAGCCATAGTGTCATCCGCGCTTAGTCTGTATTGTAAGATAGAGCTCCTAGTACTTAACCGTAGGGAAGATGGAAGTCCCTGAGCACACTAGATAAGGGTGCAGTGGCCTCATAGAAGATGGGCTTTTTGAACAAACCCAAATGCTCAGAAAATTGCATCAACTGACAGACTACCCAGAGAGTAAAGTATAGGGTTTTTGAAAAATGGCCTTTGCTAGATACCAGAAGCCAGAAGCTTTATATTGCTTGTAATAAATGCCACCCGTTTGCAGCCCGAATCTCATCTGCACTTAGCATCATGCTGAGATGTTCTGTAAAGCAGAGCAAAGGAGGGGTCGATTGATTGTGTACGTTCCTATATCTGCCCTGCAGAAATATAAATGAGAATGAGAGAAAATGAGAATGGGATATATTCAGAATCTCTTTTTTTTTTCACACATGTATATAGAGTACATCCCAAAGGGAATGAATCATATGTTGGCTTTTCCATTCCTCTTTCATTCTTAGATATGGGAAATCATTCTGTTTGGTTTAAATTCATTGAAAACCTTTATGTTAAAATCTACGCAGTATGAAGATTCATATTTCTGTTCCCTCTATGGGGAGATTCACTACTGCATATCTCCGTGATTGCTTTCTTTTGCTAGTCTGCTCTGCCTGTCTATAGAGTGTGTTAGTAGTTATTTCCCCAACTTCCTCTCTGCACAGTCAAAGCAGGCAAGTAACATAGAGAACCAGTCAATAATACGTTAAATTATGACTCTTGAGCAACATTGAGTAATTAAAGGATATCTAAACTTAAGAATAAAATGTAATATATTGAAGCATACCAGTCCTTGGATGTGGTGGTTGCCGTAGTTTTAATTTTTGAGACTTAGCAAGTACAGAAAATGCCTGTTGTTATTAACAGAAATGCAATGTCATTTGTAACTTTCTGTAAACTGAAAATAATGTCCACCCCCCCTTCCCCCATGTAATGGAGATGAGGAGGAAGGAGTGTTTGTAGTCCTGTCTGAGGCTGATATCAGAGAAGTGATTCTGTCACTAGTGAAAAATTTCAAGCAACAGGATTGCTAACAGTCTGCCTGCCTACCTACCTGTCCCTATGGAGTTGCTCCCTCTGTAGCTGAGGCAGTGAGCTGTCGCTTTAATCGCTATCGATCAAAATTCAGCAGCGTTCAGCCAGTGATGGAGTAACATCTCACTTTCTCAGCAACAGAGGGCGTGGATCCATAGGGACAGACAGGCAGCCACTTTAGAGATCATAGTGGTCACTGTCAGCAGAATCTCTTATCTGTCATCAGCCTAATGCAGGCCATAGACTGGTCGTTTATCAGCCGAATTTTCGTCCGAAAGAATAATCAGCCGATATTCGCACCGTTAGTGGGCAATGTCGTCGGCCGATTTTCGCTGTTCCTTCTCGTTTCTTTTAACGGTCATGCTGGAAAATCTACAAAAAACTGACAATTTTCATAAGCATTGGTGGCAACAGAACGACCGATTTTTCATTTTTCTGCCGACAATTTAGCCGATAAACGACCCGTCTATGGCCTGCATAAAGGTGACAGCTATGGCTCCCTCCATATACAGTGTAGTGAGTGAATAGAACTAATATGATAGTGATGTAGCGCTGTATTGACTGTTATAACCCTTAGGTTAGGTAAAACACTGCTTTTACAATATAGATGTCAATATGCTGTCAACCAAGAATGTACTGTGACACTTATAGGTGATACATGCAGTATAAAACAAACATATATATATCCAAGTGATCATATTATCATTATAGTGACACACAGTGATTCCCTACACAGGGATATGCGTCACCTTAAATAGGTGATCTATATGAGTAGTAGAACAGTCCACGAAATACGGTGTTTAACTTGTGTAACAATAGCCCACACAAATAAATCACAAACTGCATGCTCCTGTGTCAGTGCAGGTAGTGAGTGATGCTCCTATATGGCAGGCATGCCCGCTCACCTTCCCCCTGTGACCCCCAGGGGTCAAAAAGCCTTATGGGTCACCCAGGATCCTACACGATTTCTCCACACAAGGATTGGCTCCACCACCTTCGATGAACTTTCCTCCACCTTCCACTATTCCTCCATGGCCAGGTAGCAATATGAATGCTCATATATAAACATTATGTTTGGGAATCATACAACAGAAGAACAGAGATCCTCCATAGTGTGATACTGTATGTAAAGCTTTAATAAAAAGAAAATCGCCAAGCACAAACTCACATTTCAGCTGCAGTACAAAACGCCTGTGTCACCTCACATGGGTACATGGATTACAGTATTATAGGGTAGTGAGTGAGTGTAGCCATCCAGAGACAGAATGTGTGTTACTCACAGGATCAAAGAACAGAAAAAGGAAAACTAATGCAAGCCACCACATCCATAGTGGCAAGCTGCTATATATAATATGTGCTAAACATTATGACAGAAACCTTTTCTTTTCCCTGGAGTTCTTCTGTGTCTGTTAGCTGTAAGGGCAGTATTGGACTATAGCAGCCCATACATTGATTTTTTTTTCATTCCACCAGTGGGTTGAACAAAAATAAATGATCTGATTTCCCCTTCAAAACATTTAAGGTAAATGGGGGAATCCTTCCTGCTGTGGTATTGTATTCTGACAGCGGGGAGCCCTTTGTGAGTGACCACAGCCATTTTTCCTACAGTCATACACCACTCTGATGAATCACAAGCCAAAGAAGCAGAAGGAGATCAAGTCTCAAACATGTTTCCCGCACATGGTAAAAAAGGATCACTTTGTGAATGCCTAATAATAGGCAAGGGTGGTAAAGAAGGGCAGAAAATAATATTTATCACACATACACATTTTCAGAAAATAAACAGGATTTCCTGCTTATACTCCAAGGTACGCCACTTGTGGAATCATTCTGGACCATCACACACTGACAGTATAGAGGCCTTTTTATTTCTCATTTAGTATCTGTGGATGTTTGGATACCATCTCGAATTAATTATCAAGTACAGCTTTGTAATTGTGCCATAGTGTTATGAATTTCAGCAGTGCAATAT